ATACTTCAAATTCACGTGTAACTAAATTTCCTGGTAGAACATCTTTAAACATTTTTTGTCCACCATGAGCTGTATCAACCATTGATTTAACAACCACATTTTTAACTTGATCACCGTAAGTTTTTAATTTTTCGAAATATTCCATTCTTAATTAAGAATGATGTTTTGATGATGATAATGCTCAAAATGAAGGAAGACAATCATCATTGAGGATGATTTTTTCTGATTGGTTACGAAGAGGCGTCATCTATTATTCAACTTCTAAAGTTTATCGAAAAATGAATAAAAATTTCAGATTAAATTTATTTTATCAATTGATTGAATGCGTGAAAAGATTTTTAATGAAATTTCAACTGATAAGAATCTCTATAATCTAGAAAATTAAGTCAAGTTTTTTATTGGTTTATTCTCGTTTCGTGTCGTCGTTCGGTTGTTTGTTTGCTTGTTTACTAGAATTTCTTATTTAGTTACTCAATCGTTTATTAAATCTTACAAGATAAAAACTAATTTCCTCGTTTTTAAGAACTAAAAATCTTAGAAATATAATTAACTTTCAAATGCTTGCATTTTCCGTAGAAATTCTTATTAAATATTCATTTAAATCATATTAGAAAGTTGAAATCATTTGATATATACTCATTGAAACATCACGTGTTCTTATTTCTTTCTTGATTCTTTGTTTTAAAAATAAATCTATAAAAATGACGCAGAATATTACTCATTTTATATTTTATATTTTAGTCATGATTGTTTCTTTGTGCTAAACAATTAACAGATAAATATGATTAACGAACGTAGTTCTGCACAAGCAAATACCCCTACATCTGCTAGTATGCAGTATGGTTATCCAACTAGTAAGAATATATTTTAATTTCTATCATATATATATTTATTTATTGATTTCAAAGGCCATTTTGATCTTATGAATCTCCCACCAATACAAAATCCAAATGAAATGTATTCCTATTATCCTCCAAGTCTTTATCAACCATTTGGACAATTTGAAGAGCATAATCAATGGGGAACGGGTGATACATCAGGAAATGTTCCACCACCTCCACCTGGAACTATGCAATTTCATCCACAAATGTATACACCATCACCACTCGATATACCTCGTAGTCCATTTGATTATCCGCCTCCACCTCATGCTTATCCTCATTATCATCCAGCTTTTACACCTTCAACATTTCCTGGACCACCATCAACAGGTACATCAGCCTTTGATATGTCATGGAATCCACATAATTTATCTATGCAACAAATGCAAGTTGCAGCTCAACAACAAATGACACCTATAGGTGGTGGACCAGCTTCGAATAAAAAACCATCAGTTTATGATGAATATCCATCTGGAGGTGTTGGTGATATGCTTGCTCAACATATGAATGCAGTTGATCTAGGAAATAGTGCAAATAATGATGATACACATAATTATGACAATGGAACAAATGATAGTACACAAAATGTTAATATGTCATCATCGAAAGACCAACAGCATTATCAAACAAATAGTAGTAATCTTTCATTATCATCACGTCCATCTCAAGCACCTTCATCATCTGCATCAAGTGGTCCAAAATCATATGCATCCGTCGTATCATCAGACACTATTAATACAAATAGCAATAAATCGACTCCATCCGTTCCTCATATACCTGTTCGTTCAACAGTACAATCGTCAGCAAATGAACGTAATAATCCGACATCAAACTTTTCTAATGACTCTAATAATTCACGTATGAATACAAATGTAAGAGGAAATAATCATAATAATACGAATAATTATTCTCAACAAACACGTAATGGTACAAGTGGATATAATAATTCTCGTAATCAACAACAACAACAACAGCAGCAGTCATCCACTAGTGGAGGCTTTTTGAATTGGACAAATAATAATTTATCATCGAATTCTCGTGGCGGTGGTAATAATAATAATAATAATAATACATCATCGAACTATTATAATAGTGGTTCATCAAATTACTATGATCGTTCATCCTATTCACAACAACAAACATCATCGTATAGTAATAATAACAATAATAATAAACGACAAAATTCAAATTATCAACAAAATTATTCATCGTCTCGAACAACAAATAATATGAGTAATGGTAATCCTACAGCATCAGCCGTTGGACAACAACCAATATCTGCTGCTAATCAAGAAGTTCTTGATGCACTTAAAAAAAATCATCAATATAATCCAAAAGATTTTAATTTGAATCCTAAAGGAGCCAGATTTTTTGTTATTAAATCCGTAAGTAAAATTATTTTTAATATCCAAAAAGAATATGATGAAATTAATGAAATATTAAACGAGAGAGAGAGAGAGAAATATGAAGAATTAATTTCATGTAACTTACGATCTAAGTAATAATTAGTGGATTATATGAGTTTTGATAAAAATTGTCTTGAGTTTATGTTGTTAGAAGCTTCTAGAATTTTGTTTCTTTACTACTCAAGTGTTCACTTAAACATTTTGATGAAGAGTATGAGAGTAAACTATTGTTATCTTATGCATACTATATCTCTTTTCAAGTTCAATTGAAATAAAGTAAAAATACACTCAACAAAATTTTATGAAAAGAATTAAATATCTTTGATGTGTTTGCGTGACCTATTTGAAAATTGAGATGTCTCAAAAACGAGGCATTCGTCTATATAATTATCTTAATGAATATGATGCTGATTATTAAAGTTTGTTGAATAAGATCTTCTTCTCTAAACATGTATTAACTATAACCAGATACGACATATTCTTTTTTTCGACTATAAAAATTCACTAAATAAAGTAATTCTACTTCTTTCTCGTATAAAGAATGTTAACAAAATTTTTACACCTTGCTATGTTGTTTATATTCAAAAGAATAGAGATAAGAGCAAGCATACATAAAATAGTTGTTATTTTTATTTTTGAATGCATGATTAAAGTCCGAATAGAGAAATATGTAGTATTAGTTAGACCATGTTATAAGCTCAGACGTTTTTTTTAAATTTACGTAACAGTCAGTGATTCGAAAAAGTCAAATGATCTTAATGTATTTTATTATATTTGAAGAATAAATTTTTTTTTATTATCATTTAGTATTCTGAAGATGATGTACATCGTTCAATAAAATATAATATTTGGTGTTCAACTGAACATGGAAATAAACGTTTAGATGCTGCATTTCGTGAACGTGAAGGCAAAGGAGCGATTTATCTATTCTTTTCAGTTAATGCTTCCGGACATTTTTGTGGTATGGCTGAAATGATGTCACCTCTTGATTATGAACATCAAACGGATGTTTGGTCAATGTCAAATAAATGGCAAGGTAAATTCGAAGTTAAATGGATTTATGTTAAAGATGTACCAAATCAACAATTTCGTAATATACGTTTGGAAAATAATGATAATAAACCAGTAACAAATTCACGTGATACACAAGAAATACCTTATGAAAAAGGTAAATTAATGTTAAAAACTATGCATTTGTATCGTGATAAAACATCAATATTTGATGATTTTCAATATTATGAATCAAAACAAGCTGAAGAAGTAGTTAAAAAACCTTCAAATAATGATTTTAATAATAATACAGCACGTGAAAATAATAACAATAAACGACAATATTCATCAAATAAATCATCATCATCATCCGTTCAATTAGAGCAACAACAACAACAACAAAATGAAAATACAGACAATGATGAAAATAATTAAAACAAATATCAATATGCACGCCGTTTTTCGTTTTTTTAGGTTACACTAATTTATGTCCTCTCGCTTTCTATATAGGGGGAAACACTCTTCTTTTCCTTTATTTGTGTGTGCGTGTGTGTGAGCTTTTTAGTAGACATCATTCATCACCCTCTGTTTTGCGTGTGTGTGTATATTTGGGTATGAGGTTATTTGTTTTTTCTTTGTTTCATTCTAACACATTGTGCTAACACCATACCACAGTAGCAATCTGTTGCTGTTGTTATTGTTTCATGATTTCTTCTTGTTTTTCTTTTTTGTTGTTGTTTGTTTTCTTAACACCGAAACAAGCTTACTCATTTTCATTCATGTGTTCTCTTTATTGTTATTGTCTAAACCATTTAACATTATATTTCATCTTACTTAACAGTTTCATTTTGTTTCTTTTTCTTTGTCCCTATAACACTTCACTTATATCCTTTATACGCGTGCATGATGATTATCTTTTTCTTTTTTTTTTTTTTATTTAACGTCGCCATTCGATTGCACACATCGTTTTTTTTCTTCTCGTGTATGCGTGTCGTCATGTTTTTGTTGTTGGCTTGTTTTCTTTTTTTGCAAGAAAGATCTATTACATGAACTTTAAGAAAAAGAAAAGATTGAAATACATGATGAAGTAAAAAGAAATCAACAAAAAACAAACATTCGATTTTTTCAGGATATGCATTTGACTCTTGAATTTGCTGGTGGTGCAGAATTATTATTTGGTAAACAAAAACTACAAACTATTGATTTACCAGATAATAATACATCATGGACTATTCGAACATTACTTATTTGGATACGTGAAAATCTTCTTCGTGAACGTCCAGAATTATTTATACAAGGTGATTCAGTTCGGCCAGGAATATTAGTTCTTGTAAATGATACAGATTGGGAATTATTAGATGGTTTAAATTATCAATTAAAAGAAAATGATAACATTCTGTTTGTTTCAACATTACATGGTGGTTAAAAAAAATTAAAAACAAGATTGTTTTCTTTTTTTCCGAATACATATATATATATATATAAAGAACTTTCATTTCACCAAAACATACAAAAAAAGAAAGAAAGAAAGAGAAAAAATCTTTTTGTTTTAACCAAGCAGCACCTTTTTAAATTTGCTAGACATATCTTTATTTGGTACATCATCTGAATTATCATCAGAATCAGATGATGTCATTTGAAATGTTGGTGTTGATGTACACGCAGGTGAACAAAGAAATTGAAGTAATGGTAAATAAAATTTACCACAAAAATCAACAAATTTGATATTTTTATGACAACTTTCAAAATAAACACCTAGATGAAAGAAGAAAAAAAAAGAAATAAGTTTTTCTATAAATCTTAATCTCTAAATTCATCTTATTAAAAATTTTCATACCTTTACATTTGGGATTTAAACATGATTTCGCTGCATTTAGATATTCAATAAGACTTCTTGGTATTGATTGATCATCATAACATATTTTATGAAGTTTTATTGTTCTACCAGCTAGCTCTTTCAAAGTTGGTACATCATAAGTTAAATCTCGAACGAAACGTACAACAAGTGGATTATTTCTTAAACTTAATTCTTGTAAATCAAGACGTATAATATCTGGCGGTAGCGCACTAAACTGATTATTATGCAATGAAAGCGATTTTAGACGCCCTAAACCTAAAAAAAAAATATATTTGATATTATAAAAAAAAGTACATTTTCATTTTTTTCTCTTACGAGAAATTGAACGTGGCAATGTCCGTAAACGATTTCCACTTAGATTTAAAACGACTAATGAACGCATGTAACCAATTGAGTCTGGAACATTACCAATTTGATTTCCACCCATATAAAGAACTTCAACTCTAAAAAAAGAATATTTAAAAATTAAGAATATATTTCAATAGATTTTTACTTGATTAATGTTTGAAATAAGTCCGGTAAAAATGCTATTTGATTTGAACCCAAATAAACTTCTTTTAAATTTATCATTTGAAATAATTGATAAGGAAATTGTTTAAGGCGATTTCCACCTAAATTAATAACTTCTAATTGTTTTAATAATTCAAATTCTTTTGGTAAAGAAAAATCATCGAGTGAATTATTTTTTAAATATAAATTCTTTAAATTTTTTAATAATGATAATTCGGCTGGTAGTTGAACTAATTGATTATTTGATAATTCTATTGTTACTAATGATTGAAATTGTTCAATTTGAGATGGAAGTGTTAATAATTGATTAGAATTTAATTGAAAATTTTTTATACGATTTGGATTTTTAACTAAAGTTAATAATTCATTTGGATCAAGCATTGAAATATTTCGATGAGAATAATCAATTGTATCGCCGAGTACAGTTTCAGAACTAATAGAAAAAAATAATAAAAGCTAAAAAATCGATATTTTATTATTAATAAAATAAATACCTAAAATTACAATCGTCTTCATCATCATCAAAATCATCGTCAAGGTCATAATCGCCTTCGTAATCTTCAGCCGTTGTTAATGCTGCTGCTGCCATGTTATTATTGTAGTTTTATAATCTAAAATATAAAACGTTATTTGTGTTTATCACATGGGATAGGTTTTATCATGTGACAGACAAAAAAAGAATACGAGAATGCCTCGACAAACGTAAAAAAACATATTATAAGGACTCAAGGTCGCAGAAGCAGAACAATAATAACAACGATTCTCGCGATGTAATTTCTCTATATAATATGTGTATGATGTGGATAGGATTTTTTTTTGTACTAGAAGGTTGTTAAGAACAAAAAAAATGAATGGTGTACTCTCAATATATAAATCCAGTGTTTTATCGTTCGAAACAAAGATAATACGAAAAAAAAAATGCCTCGTCATATGTCAATGCAATACTATAGGTCTATATTCGATCTTTTTATTATTTTTTTTCATATTTACACTCACAAGAGATTACCTAACCTAACAAACAGATAATATTCAACGATGATCTTAAATTCTTCCATACATTCACCGACTGATGTAAAGCATGTTGACGATGAATATTTTTTGTCCAATGATTCTTATCATCTCGAGGAAACTTGATGTTGTTTGCATCTTTATCGAGACTAGGAGAAAGGAAAGAAAGAGAAAAAAAAAAAAATGGCAAATAACCAATACGTGGTTACAATTGTTAATGTTGATCGTGTATACAAGTAGTAAAGATTGAAGAAAATGTCAGGTCAAAGTACAAAAATAGTTCGAATATCTAAGATTAAAATATTGTTATTATATGTATGAAAGCTAACGTAGAAAAAAACGAGAAACAAAATACTGAGGAATGAGAAAGCAAATTTATCGATTGATTGATCTTACACACGATGAAATATTTTTTTTAATTTGCATGTTATCTCGATGTATTTCATGATGGTTAAAATTGAAGGGCAAAAAAAATATATATAGGTGCGCGCACTTATCATTTCATCTTCAGAGGACCTATACACATTTTTCATTTCGGATCAAATCTCATTACCTATATGTATATAATGAAAACGATTATATAAAATGCAGCGACATATACATAAAAACAATAATAAATTCCAATTCATTAGAATATATATTTTTTTGCTTCGAAATATTTCTTTTCTATGAAAATCGATTAAAATAAACATCAAATAAAAATTTATCTATATCAATAAATAAGAAAAAACAAACGAATATATTTTTCTTTTTGTAAATGTTTTTTATAAACTTAAGAAATATACAACTAAACAAATGATTCTTTATCAAATGAGCGACGATTTAATGCATCGAGTACATCTTGTACACTTGGATAATAATAAAGTCTATTATTATTTGTTGAACTATTATTGTTATTATTATTTGAAATTTGATCTGATGTCATTGATCTTGGTAATGTATATGAACGTGTTGTTGAATCAAAATCGGATGGATTTATTGTTGAATTTCTTTTTGTTGTTATAACATATTGTTGTTGATGATATTTTTTTGGACGTTCAATAACTGGATTTGAATGATAATTATTTATTGGTACAGGACGTTTGATAACATGAGGATTATTTACTTGATGTGGTGTTGATATGGCTGATGATGGCATTGTACTAATATCAATCGATGGAAAATCATGATCAATTGGTTCAAATTGATAATCATTATGTAAAATTGTACTAGCATTTTCATATAACATTCGATTGTTATTATTCATTTGTTTCCAAATTTCATCATTATCATTTTCATTATCATCATGATAAGATGTATTTGTTGCTAAAAAATTAATGTTTTTTTTTATTTTTAAAATTGAAATAATCAAAAGAGATGTAAGTATAGAGTGAATGTGGTAAAGTATCTTTCAAGTTACTGATGGATAATGCTGATTTCTTCTCGCCTGTCAGTTTTTCTCTCGTCTAGGAAATCTCTTGAGAGATGTAACACGCACATGCCAATGATATAAAAAAATTTAATCCAATATGCCGATAGACAGTTCTTCAATATGATTATGTATGGAAAGTCATTACTTTCCTTTCTTTAAAAAAATACCAATAAAAGATAAAATAAAATATATACCAGCATCTGTTAACATGGTTTCTCTTGAATTCATCATTGATGATGACAATTGACAGCGAGAACAAGAGCTTTGTAGTCGTGAGAAATTTGTTGAACGAATGATTGCTTGTGAATGATGATTTCGAATAGCAATAGAGTTTAAATTAGCAGAAAGATTATTGTTCGATGGTAGATAACCAAAATGAACGCTATTTCCAAGCTAAAAAAACAAATGAATGATGAAAAAAAAGCGCGGCTCCACTTAGCGGTACTGGCAAAAACTCTGCCTATTCATCCGTTTTTCTCTCATTCTGTCGGTGCTGGAACAATCAATTCATAAAACTAACATTTCATGCCTTTGTATCCTCTTCCCTCGTTTTTTTCCTACACGTATATATATATACATAAATACACGCTATTCTTTTGTTAGATTCTAAACATTTAATTATACTCCGTTATGTGTGTAAAGTTGCATGTAAAAAGAAACTAAAGACATCATGAATGCTACTATTCACTCAACAAGACAATCAAGCGAGCATCAACTATCGTTTCTAAAGAAGACAGAGAGACAGCAGGAGTACCAGGAATAAAAAAAAAGAAAAGATGTCAATGAATTTCCGCTTTTTTTTCTTCGTTTCTCTTTTTTCTTCTTCGTCTTCTTCTATCTCCTATTTGCCTTTTGTTCTCAAATAAATAACCTAACATCATACTTGTAATTTTCTCCGCTATATGATCATTAACTTCGTCTACCATTATCATTCGCATCAACAACATCAACGTGCAAGTCAAACAAACGACCTATTAATCATACAATACGTCAAAGCTAGACTTACTTCCTAATTGTCCTTCACAATATATACTTTTTATTCTATTCTATTTGTTTGTATATATAGATTTATATATAAATAAATCTTCAAAGATAGTTTTTTTTCTCTCGATTTTCCATTTAAATGAACATGAAAACAGGAAAATAGAAAGAAAATTGAAGGCCTTTTCTTTCGATCTTAGACTTCCGTTCTTCGACATTTGATTGATGTATTGATTAATTTATTTGCTTTCGGCAAAAAAAGAAAAGAAAAGAAACTTACAAATCGACCATTCGTTTCATTTGCTGTACAACCAGATGTTAAAACAAAATTAGCATCAGTTATAATATGATCAGCGTCATAACTTGTATCTTCGACTTCGTCATCTTCTTGTGTCAAAGTTTCTTTTCCACGTTGATAATGTGAATTAGGTGGAAATGACGATGATTTAGGCAAAGTTGCCATAGGCGAATTAATTATTTCATGTTGTCGTACTTGAATTTCAAATTGTTGTTGTTCATCTTTTTCTTTTTGTCTTCTTTTTAATATTCGATTATAATTATAACAAGTCCATATAGCAATAACAACAAGTATCAACCAACTTATAATTAATAAGATAAGAAAACGCCATTCAAATTGTTGAGAAAAAAGTTTCAATATAAAATTCTTTTGTCGAAGAAAAAATGGAATTGAAGAAGTGGTTAAAAGAAAATTGTTTGTTTCTCCATTATTATTTTCTTCTTCTTCCACTCTTCCAATTTCTTCAGTTATGAAACGATGTGTTAAATTAAATTTTAATGTATATAAACGTTCACGTGATATAAATAAACCATGATCACGTAATACAAATGCAAGTGTATACATTCCATCGGGTACTGTCATATTTGTTTTTGTTACTAATATCGTTGAATTTGTTAAATTATTTATTATTAAATGAAAATAATATGTTGATGTACAATTTAAACAATCGATTGATATCATACCATTAAGTCCATCATCAAGATCAATTGGTTGAAATTCATAAATAATTGTTTCATCATTATTTATCTGTTCAATTGATAAATCAAATGGATTTGCTAAAAATGGTTCAAATGGTAAATTATCATTATCATCAAGTATTTGTATGATAATATATGTTGGAAGTGAATAAGATTTTAATACACGATCATACATAAATATCGATAGAGTATGATTTGATTGTAATTCACGATCAAGTATAACTAATGTATGAATAAAACCTTGTGAATCAATTGAAAATATATTTGATAAAGATTCATTTTGATGAGAATCAACAAATAAAAAATCAATTGCAGAATAATTTATTGTACTAAAATAAAACAATTTCAAATTCGATACAAAAACTTATGGTGAATCATTTTCTAATCTATTCTTTTCCAACACAATTTTCATATATAGTTTCATTTGAAACCTTTAAAGTCAATCAAAAGATTAGAATGAAGTCTCATAAGTCTAGTTTGTTTACATAACAAAATGGATTAATGAATTTTTACATCAAATCAGTCGTATGTCATAATAGATGAATCAAAATTAGAATACAATAAAAACAATTTTTGTCTCATAACTGAACGGATAAAATCCACAGTTATAATAGTTTGCGCTATTAATATTGTTAAACATAGATGCTACTGTGTAGACATGCTAAAGAAGGCACTTTGTGTCTAGAAAATTTTTTTGCTATTTACCTTGATGTTTTAATTGGTAATGTTAAATTAAATAATTCTAAATCTGCATCTTCAATTGTCGATAGATTAATAATTTTCTCCATTGGTTCCTGTTCATCTCGATCTCCAATAGTTAATCTTCCAACAATTGTACCAACAGGTAAATTTTCTTTAATATCAAAATGATAAAGATCATGTATAAAATATGGTACATGATCATTAAGATTATTAATTTGTACATCAACAATTGCAATAGATGAATATTTTTTAATTGGAACACCAAGATCATGTGCACGTATACCAATACGATATAATTCACATTGTTCACGATCAAGTACACGTTTTGTTCGTAAGATTCCCGAACGAATATCAATAGAAAATTCTTCTCGTTCTTTATTCATAAGTTCATAACGAACACTACCATTTTTACCTTTATCAATATCATAAGCATGTAAACGAGCAACCATGGTATTTCTTGGTTGATTTTCATCAATTTTAACATGAAAATA